TTCGGTTTTTTTTTCTCTTTTCGCTGAAGCCGAGATCGCCCGCGCGTCCACTGCGCGGACGACGGCGGTGGCCGACGCTCGGCGTCGGTCCCGTCAGCGCCGAGCGATGCCACCGGCGCGGCGCGGCGCGGCGGCCCCGCGTCTCTTTATCCCCTCGCGCCCGCTCACGCTCGCCCTCCGTTCCCGTGTCTCCGCGACGTCAGGATCGCCGCGGGTCAGCGTCTCGAGGCCTCTTCTCTCTCTCACGGTCCACCGGGACGCTCTCGAGGGATCCGCGCGAAGAGGGTAGACCGACCGCTACCGGGTCCGAGATCGCCCTGGAGCCTCGTACCTCCTTAACGTCATCGTTCCGTCCCCCTTGTCTCCTGTAAACGAGATAGCAGAGAAGCCCCGGCGCCACCGAGAGTCGCGTACGCTACCCACCGGCCACGTGCCGAGGGCGCGCAATCACGACGCGTCCGCGCCACCAGCGCGGGAGGAGCAGCACATCTCTCGGCGAGCACACCGACGGAGAGCGGCGAGGTACAGCGGAGCGAACCACCCCGAGGCGCGACTGACTGAACCGTGCCGGCACCGAGGTGGCACCCAAGACAAAGTCCCCCCCCCCCCTCGCCGGCGAGTCTCCCTCCGTAGCGGCGGCGGCGGCGGCGGCGGCGCCGAGGCGCGCTTGCGTCTCGACGCCGAGCGTCGCTTCGCGCCCCGGGAACGTTTGGGCCACCATCCCTTTGTCCGCGCGCGTGTACGCGCCACCCCCTCCGTTTTGTTTTATTTCATTTTACCCGCAGCTGCCGAAACGCGTCCGCCAGGTCGATCGGCAGTTCAACCCTTTCGTGGCCGAGTTACTTCCTTGTCCGTCTTGAGCGTTTTTTCAGCGACGCGCGCCAAGGCCTTCACGAGTTCGCGCACGGATCTGCTTAGCCGTGAGAAAGTCCTAATGTAGAGGGGAATAGTCGACTCTGATTGAAGCCCCTAATGTGGAGGGGAATAGTCGACTCTGATTGGACGATTTTCGTACGGTTTACGTATCAGTCCCAGTCTGCGATAGGTGATTTAAGCCCCGGAGTCTTAAGAAATTGACCAATCACGGCCGAGGGGGAGTAGAACGCGCGATTGCGATTAGTCAATTTCTTAAGGCTCAGGGTTTAAATCTTTATTGTAGATGGGCACTCACGTGTTAAATAGATTCGTGCGTGAAGGCCTCAAAATTCGGTAAGCTATTTACAAGTTTATATAAATATGTATATTTTTTAAGCCTATTTGCGAAAATGCTTAACTTTAATCTCGGTCTAATTCCTGTTTGCCTCTTTCTAAAGTTGGATAGAGAACGAATTAAGCTACGCTTAAGGACCGTATACACTGGAAGCAAGCAGCGAGAATTAAGGAAACCGTAACCTTTACTTATTAGTGTAAAAGGTAAGGTGCAGGCATAATTTTGTAAAATATTTATAGCACTGGTCGAACCGCGCTCTAATTCGCCGAGAGTAAGCGTCGGAGCTCAAGTAGGGGTAAGAAATGGAAATGATTCGTTTCTTTACTCCTACTCTGACTTTCCTACCGGAAATAATTCTACAAGATTCTACAAAAAATTAAATACAACCGCCAGAATCCGAGAAATTCTACGTAAGTTAAAAAATTGTTATAAAAATCACCATGAAAATGCAAGAACTGGAACACGTTTGTCAACTTTTGTAACATCCTACGAGTAAGCAGATGTTTTAACTCTTTAGGATTTTGTTTCTCCAATTTTTTAAACTAGTAGTAAAGTTTTGTGCTACAATAATTTTTACACAATTGTACACTTTCATGAAACACTACTTGCAATAACTTCTTGATTTGAGAACATCGTAATTTGTGGTACGATTTTGCAGATACTTTTACAAAAAACAGTAGTGTTTAACGTTTCAATGAAGATGTAAAAATTGCTACAAATTTCTACTTCAAGTCAATTTTTTGTAGTTACTTATAGAAACTTTTTCCGCTAGGATTCTTGCACCAGGCTTACTTCGTCCATCGTAGACGATCCTTCAAAGTTAAACGACGTTGGTGAAACCAGACCTAAGTTGGTGCGTCACGAAAGTATTAAGCAGTTGATTATTTATTGCATCGCGTTTCTCCGTATAACACTGTTCTTTCCTGTTGGTTTATTTAGGCATTTATACGTCGTATCGCATGCACGCAGATAAAATGCGATAGATTACGCACGATAGAATCACAGGCGAACGTATGGATAATGGAGAACGTAAGCGCGGATAATCGGAGCACTTCCGTCTCAGCATTCCCTTATCTTATCGCGCATACGTGACTTATGGACTTTCCACTGAATCGCCCTTTCCCCTGATTTTGAAATCGCTACTCATTGATAATCATATTCAGATTTTATATCAATGAATAAACGCGCGCGTACATCTAGATGGAGGGCGAGGGTGAACGCGACTACCCTCCGTGTACAGATCTCGCGAAAAGATCCGTCCATCATTATTCGAACACTCGGCGTTATCCAAGACAAGATATAAGATATAATTTTGACGTTACCTCAGCGTTCTTTTTCTTCACGTCCTATTCATTCGATTTCCTTCAATTTTGACTCCGATCATATTTCTCGTGTTTTTATTTATTTATCGCTTCGTGTTCACTGTGCCTTTTCGATGTAACGTCCCTGACCGCGGCCCTACTGCGGCTGTTGTGTCGGATGGACGTGCCCTCTTGAACACAGTTTTCTCCGTCCGATACTCGGAGACGGATGACATCTTTTTACAATGTAACGTTTGACTAACATACGCAAGTGTAGAGTTGTGAATTTCATTTTGTCTCGGTGGCTATACCGCCAATTGTTACACGAACGGCTTATAAATAATAAGTTTCTCCAAATTGTAGACATTTCCTCGAAAGGGACAATCCGGACGGTCGAAACGTTGGAATAAATTATTAAATGAAACCAGCCAGTGTAAAGTCGTTAAATAATTTTTCTTCCTGTTGGTATCCGAGATGTTCTAGAGATTAAAAGAATCGATACATTAGTACGGCAATCAAATCCAAATTGTGGCAATTGACTAGCGTAAGCGTTCAATTATGCACATTGTAAGATTATACGCGGAGAGAAGTTTCTCTTAAAATTTATCCTGAAAATCGTGTGATCGTGGGACAACGTGGCATTTTGAAGAACTACGCGAGTTGTTTAAAATTTCGCTATACTTAGTATACATTTTACTAGTAATTTTACTAGCGAAACGTATGGTAAAATTTCAAAAAAAAACTCGTTAAAAAATTCTTTGAAATACCGCGTTGTCCCACGATTATACAATTTTCAGGATCAATTTTAAAAGAAAATTCTGCCCGTGCGCTCTCTAAAGCTTTCGGAGTGAAAACGGAACCATGGAGTAAAATTCATTACATAGCCACTCCATTGAAGTAAATATTTTCTCCACTGGAATGAATATTTCACTCTGTTTTCACCCCAAAAATTTTAGAAGGAACACGTCCAATTAAAAACGCAATAATAGTTTTGCAACATACGTTACAATTTCACCGATCCGATTGTGCGACGTATGGATTTCCCGAAAAATAATCCGTTTTCGTTATTTTAACACTTGGCGGTATCCATGATATCCTGAAGATCAAAAGAATTAATGCGCTAGTCAGGTCCGAATTGTAGCAATCGATTGTAGGGCAAGCGTTATTAATCGCAAGATTGTATCCGGATCGAAGTATTCGTATATAATATTTTTACAATGCGTTACAACAATTTCCACCAATTCGATTGCAAGTGGAACCGCAACGTCAAGCGCTCGTTTTATTTTCGCGTGGTGATGTTTTAATTCGACCCCCAATTCAATTAATTCGACGTAATTATTACTGGGAGCGCTGAAAATGAACGAGTTGCAGCTCAAGTAGCGGCCGCGATTAAATTTTCACTTGAAGAATTGATTGCGGTTTAATCGAGAATTTAATCGGACTGCGAGTGAGCCGATAATCCTATTATATCCCACGTAAGACGGTGAATTACATTCGCCCCGAGATCGATCGACTCGATCGCGGTAACGGAGACGTCGCGCGCGAGTAGCGGCACGCGAGGAACGTTTCGGGAAAAAAGCGGGGTGATTCATTTCTCTCGAGGGAAACGACCGCCGGGGCGAAGGGTCCCTCGTGTCCTGTCGCGGGTCGAAGACGCGTCTCGATAAGGACACGCGCGTGGTTTATCCTCGCCCGGATCGATCGCCGGTCGTTCGCCGTTCGTCGCGAGAATTATCGTGACCTGTTTTTCTTTTTCTTTTTCATTCAAACGACCGATCCTTTATTTCCCGGTCCATTGTTCCCGGGGCTGAGCCGATTGTACTCTGACGTCGGCTAATTAAAATTTTCTCCGCTCTGTCCGCGTATTAACCGGGATTGTGTGTTACAATGGGAGACGGACATCAGCGGAACGGTAATTTACGAGTGGACGGACGTCGTCCTTTATTCAGCTTTTCAAGATGTGGATTAATTGAAAACCTGAAATGGACCTTTTCAAAGGCCGGCATCTTTACATCGCGCGCGCGATGTTCCTGAATTTCGGACATTCTCGCTAACTGAGAATTGGCCGAATCCCGAATTAAAAATTCACCAAAGAGACGTTGCATTCAACGGTTTGATTTGCGGCTCTTCAATTTGCGAGAGACCACTTTCGCCGAAGATTCCGCCTCCAAAAGTCTGCCCGAATATTCTTAAAATAGCAAAAGATATATCAAGTATATTAGGCGTTAAAGAAAATTCTCGGAGCCGCTAATCAAGTTTTTTTTTTCTGCTGATACACATTTGCGAAATTACGTTTAAATTTCACGTCGCGTCAGTCAGTACCCATCATAAAACGGTCTATCGGTCAAATTTATGCGCAAACTGACCTAAAATATACTCCGATAGTGCCTCGAACGAGCGAAAATAAATGCACCGCGGCAGGTGTTCGCCTGGATCTATCTTTAGTATGCGCATTCGGTAGGTAACTTTCCAGATCAATAAAAATATCCACGTATCCTCAAATGTTTATTTAACAGTCTGGAAATACTCACCGAAATTATTGCCAATTCTAGAGGCCTCGATTGAACTCGCCTGCAAAGGTTTAACGAAACGTTTCGATCTCGTTCATCTCGAGTGACAAGTACAACGTTTCGTAAAGATAATTTACTTCGGAAAACAGCTTCTTTACAGCATGATAAAATTATACGATCAACACCCATCGATCTTCAATATATTTTGCAGTTTTGCCGCTCGTGACATTCATATCGTTCACCATTAATAACTGAATTCCGACGAGCTGTAACTGAAGCTCGTATCTCCAAGTATAAACCGTAGCAAGATTATAAAGTTTGCAATCCCACTATTTTAATTCCTCGCTCGGTCGTAGTTTTTTATATACCAATCAACAGTCTCTTCGATCGCTTGATCGAAAGGCGTGAACTGAAAATCGGGCAGGTACTTTCGTAGCTTCGCGTTGCTCGCCGTTTTCTTGTACTGTCCATCCGCTGCCGACGTGTCGTATACCACGCGTCCCTTAAAGCCGAAAGTTCGCGCCAGCGTCTCCGCCACCTGCGCTATCGATTTTTCTTGCGCTTCGTCCACTGAAAATTACCATCTTTCTTTTGCAATCGCTGCGATAAAGTTCGCCGACACTTTTCAGCGGTAAGAATAGTAGCAGCCACAAAGCCGTTGACAATTTACATTCACCGTAAAACGATAAGAGGTTTAGGAAAATGAGTCCAAGTGAATAATTACCTGACAATATGATCGGTTCCACAGAATCATATTCCCGCAGCACCCAAATTATCAGCTTCGCCAAGTCTATGCTGTAGATGAATTGCCTCAGAGGTTTACCCGAGCCCAGCACAGTGAATACCTTATCTTCTGTGTTTCCTTCCGATAGAAAATGTTCATTCGATACATTTAAATGACGTTTAAACGACGCAAAGCTATCTTCGTACCATCTTTGCACAAGTCGTGGAGTCTCCGCATTAAACCAGGTATTACATGACTGGCGTCGGGACGAAAATTGTCGTGGGGGCCGAATACGTTGCAAGGAATCACGCTGGTGTACTGTCTACCGTGTTGATCGTGGTAACCTCTGTTAGCAACGTCTATGAGTCGCTTGGCGTAGCTGTAGCCGTAATTCGAAGGATGCGGCGGTCCGTTGTGTACCTGAAACACACAGAACAGGTACCGATGTACGAGCTCTTATCGCAGCCAGTGTATCTAATATATTTGCGTGTTACTACCATAGTTTCGTCTATCGGATAGGACGTCTTGTCGGGAAATATACAAGTGGAGAGGCACGAAACCACCTTCGTGACACCGTGCTCGTGAGCTGTGTGCAGGACGTTGTCGTTCATGTGCACATTGTTCCGCTGCAAGCATAAGATTACGATATTAGAATCGCAAACGAAGCCACGTTCGAGTTAAAATCCCTGGACAGGCGCGAGTTGCAAGAGATCCCGCGTTCCTCGGGGGATATTTACCAGAAAGTCCAAATTATGTGACATGTTGTGGAAGAGGCCGCCGACCATGGCGGCCAAGTGAACGACGTGGGTCGGTCTGTGAGCCTCGAACAACCTCCGCGTGCTCTCCTTGTCACTGCGAAAGTCGGTGAAAAGTGAACGTTCGGTAAGTGGGCAATTTTTAAAAGTCCCGCGAGCGACTTGGTCGACCTAACCTCGACGACTACTTGACTCACCACAAGTCCGCGTCTTTCGATCCAACGAATATCCATTTCTCGTTCTCCCTCTTATCCTGCTCGACGACACTTTGAATGGCTCTACCCACGAGCCCCGTACCGCCGGTTACAACAACGACATTCATGCTGGAGGCATCGAAGAAACCCTGTTGTTTGTCTAGTTAATGGCTCCCGGTCCAATCACTGGACCGATACGGCCACGTCGAAGAAACCCTGTCAGTTTCTGTGATAACAGAGACGATGGCTGCTTCCGCTGCTTCAATTCCGATTGGAAAGCGCCCTCTTCGAAACATGTCGCGGGTAAAATTTTTTAAATCAACTCACGCGCGTACATATCGCGCACTTTAATGAAAATGTTAATAACAGTACCTCTCTTGTGCCTATTTCTACCAATGCAGATCAACTTTAATCGCGGTTTAATTTACTTTCCATCTTTTTCCAACTCTTAGGCCCGGTTTCACCAAACGTCGCTTAACTTTCATCTTACAATTAGTTTAATTCGCGTCTGTCTCTTTCTAAAGTAACAGTTGGAAAGAGACGAAGGACGAATTAAAGTTAAACAACGTTGGTGAAACTGGGCCTAATTCAAGTTGATTTCTTTCTAAAGTAACAGTTGAAAAGAGACAGAAGACGAATTAAGCTGAGCTTAAAGTTAAACAAAAGTTGATGAAACTGGGCCTAATTCAAGTTTGTTTCTTTCTAAAGTACCAGTTGAAAAAAGACAGAGGACGAATTAAGCTAAGCTTAAAGTTAAACGTTGACGAAACTGGGTCTAATTCACGTTAGTTTCTTTCTAAACAGTTGAAAAGAGACAGAACGAATTAAGCCGAGCTTGAAGTTAAGCAACGTTGGTGAAACCAACGTATGCCAGAGTTCAGTCAACGCCCAATCTTTTTCCATCTCATTATTTAAGAAGAGACGGAGAATCAATTAACTTTCGGTTAGCAGTTGACCGAAACTGGCCCTTAAGCGAATAATAATACGATATAAGTGACAATATGTTTTAAAGAAATAGTAAAACATAAATGTTAATATCTCAAAGAAACCTGGCATAATTACTGACAATACAATCATGGGCGATAAAGGGGGGAAAAGGACATTTTTGGTTCAATGTGCGACTGCTTATCGGAAATTGACGCAGCTCGTATTTATCAGAGATAACGCTGAATCGTAATAACTTGACGATCCATCATCGTCTCGGTTTCCGCGTCGAGAGATCGCGATGAAGCAGCAGTCAAAACACTGAAAGGGAAAACATATCGCATCTGTCCCGTGACGCATCGCTGTCGTACAATGATATCGGACCTATTATTCACAAGTGTAGAAGATAAATGAGAGTAGCATATTAAGAATCTCTTTATTTCCCATGTTTTCTAAAAAATAGAGATCAATTTTCTTAATGAACAACACCTGGCGTTAATTCTGGATTATTACCAGAGAGACACACGTGTAATTAATTTCTTGAAACCGCTTAATTAGATCGACCATTTATCAGTTACGTAACTTTAGTAGAGGATCAAGTTTTCACGGACATTTCTTGTCTTGGGATACTAAAAAAATATTCTGGGCAATATTAACCATTTTATAAACTTGAATAAAAAATTATGATTAAATCTAACTTAAGATAACACGCGTCCACAATTGTCGCTAAATCCAACTTATCAAAGCGATGAACGACGAATCGTCGTCGTCCTCGCAACCTTCGCGTTTTTCGCGAACGTTTATCTTTTGGCTTTGTTCAAATTAAACAATTACATAGAGACCTAAGAAAGCTTGGAGATCCGTAAAACCCTTTGTAACAAAAATTCCTTTCATAGCACGGTAAGAAAGGAAAACTGGCTACAGAAATTCTACTACAGCTTGAGTTAAAGTGCAATTAAGATTATAATACATTAGGAAGTGCGTAAAAACATTTTTCTTTTTTAATCGCGAAACTTTTCTAGGTCCCTAAGCACATGCCATGTTTAGCGGATCACAACGCGCTAGAGCTCGTTATTAAGTTAAACGAGAGGATAGCTAGCACTGGTTGCTATACCGCACTGATTATCTTTGTTTCTAGCCATCTTGATGTAACCGCCTTTACCCCACGATTCGCCCCAGCTGTTCTTAACTAGCCAGTAATCGTGACCGGTTTCCGCGTCTGTACCATAGCCGACGACCAGCACACCGTGGTCAAGATTTTCCGCACTGCAGTCGGGATCGTAATACACTCCTAAAAAAAATCCCCCGTGAGATTTGAGGTACAAAAAAAGAATTGAGAACGCAAGTAAAAGGAGTTCAGCTCTTGCGACATAAGAATTAGTATCGCCAATTGTGGACTAGATTTCCGATTTACAAAATTAAAAAGGTTACACAAACTTATTGCCAGGGATGAAATGAAAAAAAACATTACTTTATTAATGTATCAAGTAAATGTAAGCACGAATAATAACGTACCTTCGCTGTAAAGCTGGAAGGATTCGTGAGAGGCGTCGATAGCGACCGAGACGGGGCCTACAGTGGCAACCGCAGCCTTCAGCTTCTCCTCGTCTCCTTGTGGAATGTCTACGAAGCCGAGGTCGGTAGCGCCGTTGTTTCTCGGATTGTATCTGCAGTTTTAGGAATTTAATGAATCACGCCATTCTACAAATGTTTCAATCATGCTTTTATAATCGACTGGCAAACCTGCACTTGTCGTTCTCCGCCTCATACGGGTAACTCTTCTCAGTGTCGAGGCCTCTGTTGTCTCTGACATATTGGAAGGCGTTGTCCATCAAACCGCCATTGCACCCATTGTTGCCGTACTTGCTGGAACAGTCGACCAGGTTTTGCTCGCTTAGCGACACTAAGACGCCGGTGTGTCTGAAATGCTGGCCTTCCAAAGATCCGGTCTGCAAAACATTTACAAATGCAATCCAGAGATATCATCATCGTTCGAAATTGAATTGAAAGATTACAAGACACCAGTAGAATTAAAGGACGGACTTACGGAAGAGAATGCCCAGCAGGATCCACAGTGCCCTTGATCCTTAACTTCCGTGACAGCGCCGTGTTCCCTCCAATCGACCTCCTTTGGCAATTCGACGTTAGCTGGCGGGATGAAAGTTGCTCCCAGGTGCTTCTTTACGGCACTCAATGACTTGTTGAAGCCATTCATCGTGCTGACAAATTCGTGATGCAACTGCAAGAGAAATGTGCGTCTTATGAAATAATCGCTCGCTCCCCAACAACAGATAATTTGTTTCCCAATACTCACCATATCTCCGTACTTGTTTATTCCCAGTTTGTAGGTAACCTGGTTCATCTCGTACTTGCGATTATGCTCGGCGACCTTGCGCTTGTTATCCAAGAAGATTTTCATTCTGTAGCCCTCCTCGAGCGGGGATTTGTAGGCCTTCTTATGATGCATCTTAAAATAATAGCAAATACGTTAGCAACACTTCACTCCTTTCAGACCGAGGGGTTCAAACCGCTGACCAAAATCATGTACACCAACGCCTACTAATGCCCAGTGCGCGTTACTTTATCTTACTTTATAATGCCCCAGCAAGGCTTAATGCATAAACTAATGCCCAAAAAGCGCCCAGTAATGCTGCAAATCCGTACACCACAATGTCCTCAGCGGTTCACCCCTTGTTTCAGACATTACAATTATCCATCTGATTTGATCATTTGAACATTATAGGCTCAACAGGGTGTCCAGCAAACTCTAGGAAAAGAGTTCCCTGACTTCTTCAGGTTTACCGGGAGCCGGAATTAATTTTTCCCTGACAGTTTAGCGTAACTTTCTTCAAGATGCATAATTTGCGTACATCCGTACGGTAAATCAAGTTAAATAACGAGGTCCTTGAAATATTTTTCTTTGGAAACAAAAGTCCGGAATTCAAGAAGATAAAAATTGAAATTAAAGACACTACTATGACGCTTTCGTTTTGCCCAACTGCATTTTGTTCGCAACTTACTAGATAATAACTTACTTAGATTGTACAGTTTAGTAATTCATCTTTTCTTTTATAGTTTTGTCTCGGTTGAACACACTGAAATAAAATAACACGACGATCAAAATATCAATTACCGACCACATTTATAAGTAAATTGATGTTTGGCGAAAGAGAAAATTGGCGTGCTGAGAGCCAGAGAAAGGTTTATCTTCTAGAAGCTTTAAATTATTCAGAAATAATGTGAAACGATGTAAAAAATCCAGATAAATCGTAAAATTTCCTGACTTTTCCCCAACATTTCCCGGTTTTCCAGATTTCCCTGACCACTGGACACCCTGCTCAAGAACTTCTCGCAGTCGAGTGCCGTCTTCGTTTCGCTACCAAGCACCGAATCGGATTACACTTGTTATCAAACGACACACATGTACAGGTTACTCCATTGAAATATAATCTGTGGTTGATAAGTTAAGTATGTCAGTGTTGCTAATGCACTTAAGAAACAGTAACTGAATATGAGAGGAGGGAAGCTAAACTTTCGTTACACTTTAACTGTTTAGATTAACCCATGACGCAAGACTCGGTAGCCGTTTGCTACTAATGCGATGGCCTTGTACCTTGAAAATGAACCACTCAGCATCCAGGATCTTGTTGAAGGCAATGGCATGTCCCGTGGCGAGGACCGCCAGCAACAGCAAAGCCACCAAACTCTTCATGGCTAATCCTCAAGCTATCGAGCTACCTAGAAGTGAAAATTGTGTCGATAACGAAGTATAGGTTAGACACGGATTCGTGCGAAACGGGATAACCGATATCGCGGACGAAAAGTACGCGAATATACCGAGTTTCCTCCGTTCGCTCGATCTCCAAGCTCGCGAGTATTACTCGAGGGCGATACGTCGAAGTAAAAATGCAATCTAGCGATAAAGTCTCGGACTGAAACGCAGAGTAGACGTCAAACCTCGTACAAGAGAGGGGGGGAAAATGACGAGACGGAATCTCGTCTTGGAACCGCGATCAATTTTGCCTCGTGAGAAACGTTTACGTCGACGCTCGTCTATCTCTCCTTTTCGCAACACGCGCGGCTATCGCCGAGAATTTTCAGACGTAGCCATTTTCTTTTTCCGCTCGAACCGCGAGAGGAGCGTCGAGGTCAACCGAATGAAAAAATGTCTACGACGATCGGAGAGCTCGGCACACGCACGTGTGTATTTTTTCCCCGCACAGCCTCCGCGGCGGTCGCTCGATTTGCACAATTGTGCGGTTTTGCGGAACTCACGAGTGACTCACTTCTCTCGCGAGAGCGGAAGACGCGAATACGCGGCGAGATCGCCAAGGTGACACGACGGTAATCGCCCGGGGGAGGGTTCGGCCTACGAACGTCCGTTGTTTTGGGACGGGACACGCGATGGACGCGCGGTCACGTGGCGATAACGGATTCCCAAGTGTCGGCCGAACAATGAGCAGCCACGGCCGTCTCGCTGATCGCTCCCGCAATTATATGCATATATTGCCACATGTGTGTAAGGCGCGTTCGCGCTATTAGCACCTAAACAGTCTTTGTTCGACTTGTAACAAACAACGAAGATAGACCGATGCTTTCAGCGCTAGACTCCGCGAACGCACCGCGCGCGCGCTTGTTTTGCGTCACGGTTCTTTTGTCTTGCTAAATTTTGGCCGCTGCTCTGCCCCGGTGAAAATTTTAAGCGAGAGATGACGTTTGTATTTATTTATGAAGAGTTTTATCGATAGTTACATTGTTTATGAAGAGCTTTATCGGCGGTTATACCGTTTGGAAATACGTTGCAAACACCTGGTTAATTCTTTACTGGCAATAACATTTTACGAACACTTGGGAAACTGTAACGTTCGATATTGTGTCATTAAACGCAATTTGAACACACGCGTAACCGCAAACGTGTCGTAAACAACTCCACGTTTAAAATATCTCGCAAACAGTTCAATAATAAGTAGTTTACGCGAGTCGACAGGCCCTCAGATTTTCGGATCTCAACAACGGCTCATCCGATGAGCAACTTCAAAAGGCCTGTTGTCCACGATCTAGAATTTGGTCCAAGTTCTAGTCCCGAGAAATGTGTAGCCAATCAACGTGCAGCTTTTATGGAATAGCTGCAAGTTGATTGGCCACACATTTCTTGAAACTAGAACTTGGACCAAGTTCTAGCATCGTGGACACAGGCCTTAAGGCCCGGTTTCACCAGCGTCGCTTAACTTTGAGCTCAGCCTAATTCGTTCCCGTCCCTTTCCAACTGTTACTTTAGAAAGAGATAAACCTGGATTAAACCGAGATTAAAGTTAAGCGACGTTTGATGAAACCTAAAGGCCATTCTACAATTGCGTAAACGTAGTTGTAGGGTTGTAGGAGTAGAAGCAGTGATAAGTGTTGTACATCAAAGTAATATACAATAGAGTGAGATACGTCGTAATTGAAATGAATGATTAAGTTAGCTTTTACGTCCTACATTGTTGTAGTCGTGAAAGATCAAGTCCAGCCATCTTTTATCAACAGGCTTTACAATCGGAAATGCTAGTTTAAAACTGTGTTTTACAACACTGTACAACCGCTAACAACCACGTTTACGCAATTGTAGAATAGCCTTTAAGAAGACTCAATCTGTCTTTACGCGCACTCTAATCCCAGCGAGAAATGACTCGTCGATTCGACATCGTTTCGACGAATCATCTCTCGCTAGGATCGCGTGGAAGAATTGTGCAATTTTCAAGCTCTTTACACAGGTCCGCAGCTCATCCTGGTATTATTTTCTGCGTACAGGCTAATACAGAGAGAATTGCAAGCGCAAAGAACTACATTTGACTGCGTCTGTAAAAAAGATGGCCGCGGGATCCTCAAGGTGTAAAGGCTATTCTACAATTGCGTAAACGTGGTTGTTAGCGGTTGTACAGTGTTGTAAAACACAGTTTTAAACTAGCATTTCCAATTGTAAAGCCTGTTGTAAAAGATGGCTGAACTTGATCTTTCACGACTACAACAATGTAGGACGTAAAAGCTAATTAACTAATCATTCATTTCAATTACGACGTATCTCACTCTATTGTATATTACTTTGATGTACAACACTTATTACTACTTCTACTCCTACAACCCTACAACTACGTTTACGCAATTGTAGAATGGCCTTAACGTGTGAACGTAGTCCGCGGCACCCGTGTGCGTGTGAGCCCAAGTTTCTCTTTTTACGTGTGTTCGACGGTTAAAGCTCTCCACGATTTCGTCGTAGGAAAAGGCTTCCAGACCTCGACCCGTGTCCCTCAGATACCGCATTCCTACGTCCAAGTATTTCGACACCGGTCGTGCATCCGTGTACAATGTACGATACGCACGGTTTATCGATATGCTTAGCAAGAGCAACGAGATTTCCGAAGAAAAAAAAAACGCAGTCACGCGCCAAGTCGCGATGACACCGATACGTCGCGAATACCCCCCTCCCCCTCCCCCGGACTCTTTATCCTCCTCTTCCTCGAAATGACGAAATTGCGCGATTACGATTGATTGCTCGCCTCTTCGAGCGCATAAAGAGAAAACAAAAATACTCGATCTCCGCTAGATGCGCATTTCTCACTCGGCGTGATAAACTGACTCGTTGGGTCACGTGGTAAATGCATGTATAAAAAGCTGATTTATAAACGCACGTCTCTGTCACGCGACGTTGTCGTAGTGGCTTGCCTCCCAATTGACAATCGCGACAACCGCGAGGTAAAACGATACGTGCCTTTTACGTACGCTGAGGGGAAAAGAGAAAGAGTTGAATCAAGAAAATATTTCTTGATCCAACTATATGCTGCGAGGGGGAAACCGCTGATCAAAATCTTGTACATCAATGCCCACTAATGCTCAGTGGGCATTTCTTTATATTATCTTATCTTATTTTGTCTTTATAATGCCCCAGCAAGGCCCAATGCCCACACTAATGCCCAGTAATGCCGCAAATCTGTACGCAATGCCCTCAGCGGTTTCCCCCTCGATATGCTGCGGCCACGAGCTCTCAAACAGATATTTGTTGTTTCACATAATTATTTGTTAATTAAAAATATATATACTTGAGTACATTATGTATGTTTAATTGAAAAACATATGTTTGAATTAAAGAAATACTGCCAACTAAATATATTTAGTAACGACAACTTTTTTTTGTAGGTTCTTTTTATGCGAAATCACGAGTGCCATGGTAGCTGCGTTATTTTGATATATTTGGAGCGCGATATGATTGTGCGCTTCAGGCATCTGCGAAGTCTCACGTATTCGAAGCGACAGCGACGGAACGTGGCTCATTCGAAAGACGAATTGTTGAAAGAAAAATGAAACGAAGCAAAAAGGACAAGCGCGTGCGACGCGCAGTACGGTCATGCGATTGGCAACCGCGATATCGAATAACGAAATTCACGTTTGTTTGTTCAACATAAGTATAGATAAGAGAGACGAGATCGTGTCGTGATCTCCAAAAAAAAAGAAGAAACGTTCGCCAATCTGAATTCCCCGGATGTCCATTTCTGTCAATGCCAACTTGAATCTCGATTCAACTAACTTTTTATCTTTTTAAAAATTCGAAAACGGCGATTTTTGGCGACCGTTTGGTTCATATACACAGTGTACGCTCAGCGTCATGAATGCCTTTACACCTGAAGAAAGACGCTAAAGAAGTCGAATAGGAAAATTTCAATAACGTTCAAGAGAAGCAGTTGACAAAATTGTTCATTAGCTTCGCTTTCAAGACTAATATCTATCCTGGGGACCGACGCTCCTCTCGAGAGACGCAAGCGCTGAAACCAACGGATCGTGCCGTTCCTGAAATTGGATACTTCCGCGTCAGAAGCGTCGTATCTAGGAAGACAATGGGGCCTGTTTTTTTCTAGCTAAACTTGCTGCACCAGTGCAAAGTTTTATCTCTCTTCCCAATGTAGAAGGAAGAGGATAAACTCTGAACTGGTGCAGCCAGTTCGGCCAAGAAAAACGCATGCATGTACGACTTGTGGCGAGGGTGCGGGCGTTTCCTAATCAGTTCTAAAACAGTTCTGCTCTCGATAACAATGGTCGGCGCTCGATAACAAAGCGATACATTTTAAAGTCTAGTTAGGCCTGGTTTTCCATTTTCCAGTTAAATTTTAACCAAAGGATAGTCGATTCTCTGTCCCTTCCTAGGTAATAACATGGAAAAAGATGGAGAATCGACTAACCTCTGGTTAATAGTTGACCAGAATAAAAATTGAAAAACCGGACCTTCGACCAGATCCGAGCGGCCGTGGCGATACGGCAACGAGAAACCGAATTAGGCGCGCGTGAACTACGATGAGCGCCACGTGTATCGTATCCCGGGTTTAGATACTATCTCTACGAAGCGAATCTGAACAAACGTCGCATCCGTATCGCATCTAATAAACGAGCAATAAAATGGAGGGGCATCTGGAGGAAAACGAACGAAGGAAACGCGATGCAATTAGATCCCTTGGGCTACGTAGACTCCGATCTTTCCGCTCTTCTCCATCAAACGTGCGTTTCGCTCGGGGGAAAAAAAAAGTTTGGGCGAAACGAGGGTAGATTGAACATGGAAGGACGCTGGAGACGGATGCTGGGGCCGGGATGCAGACAACGGACCGGGCAACCCTTGCAAACAACCGCGTTGTTCCAATCGACGTCGGTGATTTCGACGAACGATGAAGCAATTGGCGCGTGTATACTCGGTACTCACTCACGATCTCTGCTGCTCGCGTCGGGCGACGAAGACGACGAAACCACCACGAGCGTAATGACAATCGCTACTGATCGCTACTATTTCCGTCCCGACGAGCTGCGTCGCTCTTTTGTATTCCTCCCTCCCCAATATCGTTTTCCCACCACTGTGAACCACGTGATTCATTCGGCCAAGTCGTTGGCATCGCTCCGGCGTAACTTACGCGTCAAGTGAATCAACACGCATCATCACTCGGCTCTTTATCGACTTCGCTCGGTGCATGGATGCGTAACGCGTTCAGGGGCTCGAATTCTTGAATCGTTCGCAAAGGGAACTTATGCTTATGCGGGAAAATCTGCTCTTGCAGAAAAGTTGCAAGTTGATGGAGCTAATCGCGCGGCTTTCAGCCAATCGACTCCCCTGGTGAAAAGTTTTTTCAGAATTTTTACACGAGTCGGTACACTTTTCAGAAATACCGAGAAAGTTCACTTCTTTAGAATTTTTTAATATTCAGAAATATTCTATTTCTACAAAGTTCTTATTCTATAACTTCTGAAAAAATTTTTTAAACTTCCTCAAATCTTAATAAGACAATCTGGAATTATAGAATGAGAAATCTTAAAGATCTCAGAATATTTCCGAATTCACCCGTCAAGGCACTTTTCAAAAGTGTGCCAATTTGTATAAAAAATCTGGAAAATTATATGAAAAATTCTTAGAAAAATTTTCACCAGATTCGCAACCCCAAGTTCCGTTACGAGATACCGAGCGGTTGGGCTGTTTTCTGTTTTAATACTCAGAGGTTGCATCAGCTGATTCCATCCTCTTTCACGAGGCCCGGTAATCGGGCATCTGCCTCGCGTCCCTTTACAACTCGTATATGACGTTTTTTTCGCTTCGCGAAACACGCTGCTGGGACCGCGATGCTGGGAGCGGACCGGTCAACCCTTCGGACAACCGCGTTGTTCCAATCGACATCGGTGATGTCGATGAACGATGAAGCAATCGGCGCGTGTACACGCAGTATGTACTCGCGCGAGATCTCTGCTGCACGTCGTGACGTCGTGACCGCGAGTCATGTGTCTCCCCGATATCGAGTAACCCAGATTCTTAATCGTCTGCCGCGAGGGAAGCTGCGAAGACGCACTGTTCTCAAAAGCGGAAACGATAACGCGCCCGCGATCAAAGCTGCCGTCCCGACTCACTTCCTATCACTCGCCTTTCGTTTCTTTTCCAGCGACGAGTCGGATGATGCAACCGATCGTGTTTTATCAATATCGTTCATTGTTTTGTTACACTGTATGGAGAAAGAGAATATACATTTTTTAATGAAATGAATAACTAACTGGATATATCGCATTCGCCACGGCAATAATCTGTCCGAAAAATTGTCAAAATAATGTTATTATAATCTTCTAGTGTGATCGTTAAATAACTGTATAAAATTTTTCAAGTGGTATTCTATTTTTTTAGCTATTCTGTATACCAAAAGTATTAAAATACGTGACAAGTATTTCATACGAGATATTTTCTATTTTATCGTATTTCACCGTATAATGTATCTAACTAAATGAATATACTAAATGTTGAATTTTCATCCCAATCGTTTGTTGTTTTGTTATTTTTATTATTTTTTTCTTGAGCTAAATCAATTACTTATACATATGATTAAGAATCAACACAAGAATTGAATAATGATAACCGAGTCTATCTATGCAAATAATAAATTATAAGAATATATTCTTCAGCTAAAATGATTGATCCAAGATGATTATGCGAGGAACTTTTTATATACGTATACATAATAATTAAAAGAAATACGAAACCAGGATACATTTTGTTGCGAGACATAATAAGCTCAGGAGATACTACAACGAAATGAGACACGAATAAAAATATGATACGATGATCAGACATAACAGTTTTCGATTAAGCTTCCGGCGAATCGAGATAAATGCAAATATTGTCACATTGCCGCTAATAATTCTGTTAGCTTCATTTTGTTGCACATGATGAGAGTTTTACTTTAATCTAGAGAACATTCGTTTCATCAAATATTACGGAATAATTTTGGCCAGGGTCGAAGTTAATTTGTTTGGTAGCAATGAACATAAAATCTGCAGTTTCAAAAGTTGAATTGCTCACGGTCGGTACGAGAAATCGCGCGCTTGCTCGCGGGATAAGGCAGAGGGGAGCAAAGTGCGGCGAGGACCGAGGACGAGGAGGAATCGAGAGGAAACGTTACGGAACTCGAGGGATCATGTCAGGGAAGGTGTACGATGTCACGCCAGAACAGCGCGAAGTCGCGTTGTGGAGAGACGCGAAACGCAAGCAACTGCGCGAAATGTACTTGAGGGACTCCGGACATCCGACCAAGAGCCTCCTCGTACGTATACGTGCGGACATTTAACTTAACCTATATGTAACGACCCGTAGGTCCGGAAATATCCGCTTCTCGCACGACATAACGTCAATAACTATAGAAACCGAATCGAGTTTATAAATACATAAATGTACATGCGACTTTTGCTTCGATCAATTGCACGCAATTCGTGCTTGAAGTACTGTAAGGGACAAGTTCATTTAACGTGGCAACAGCAGGAACTCTGCGAACGTACCTTGTTGATTAAAAAAAACAATAAGCAATGATTAGACAATGCAAGTTAATTTTGGTAAATTGTCACGCGATTATTCACCCTATGATTACAGTTTGACACAGGAATATACAGATACGCCTCTGCGAAAACAGCGGTGGAAATGTACTTCGTGCCTACAGCAATAGGATACATCACGCGATTTGGTTTCGTCCTGGGTGCCATTTTCCTGACTGGATTGGGATTAAAACATAGAAGAGTAAGCCGGACATATTTAAGAAACAAACGGTGCTTTCCAGGAAGAAACACTGACCGACACGGTGTAATACAGACAATTGTTTCATCCTTGTTTAACAATGACAAGTAACAAAGATAAAACGCCTCACTGTGTTATACAGTGTCGCCTGTGTACGTTGCATGGAAAGCACCCATAAAGGGTAAAATGGTTGCAACACTTTTTTGTTTAAGACTACGTTCCAAAATCTTCGCGAAATATTTTACTCGACGGCCATTCCAAAACCACTTTGAGCGTTTTCGATCTATTTCTCAAGTAAAATTTTCCTCAGAGAAAATGTTTTGGAACGTGAATCTAAACGCGCGTTTCTAAACTCACTAAGGCTGATGGCAGAGAACGACCCGTAAACGCTCAAGACTGTCTTACGCCGATGTTTATAGTCGGATCTTATATTCGAAGCCGTCTTGAACTCATCTAAAGGCCCGAGCAGAATGGCTGTCTTGTGTTCTTGAGTTACAAGACAGTTATTGTGCGTTACTTTAAGGCAAAGATTTAAAACATAAAACATTGTCTGAAGAGTACAAGACAGCCATTCCGCTCAGGCCCTAAAGATGGTGTAAGGAACATTTCATTGACTACAGAGTATCACAGTCTTGAATATAAGATTTGACTACGAATACTGTCCTTAGTCGCAGACGTCGCATACAACAGCCTTTCACGGCTTACGTTTTTCTCTGCCTTGCCTTATGTCTACAACTAACGCAGTCTCAAGCGTTTACGGATCGTTTTCTGCAATCCGCCTAAAAAGGGTGTCGCAATCATTCTGTCCATCACCGCACACAATCCTAGCTATGTAAGACAAAATATTAATAATGTAATGTGTATTATCTGCCCTTGTTTTCGCAGGAAAAGAGGGAACACATGTATCGCACCGGGCAAATCCCTTACGAAGTCAGAACACATAGATTCTGTTAGACAGTTATTTTAATAGGATACAGGCAGTTGTATCTGTATAACTAGATTGTACAGCGAAATAAACTATTATAACAAACAATGCGTATGTGTGTATATATACATATATATATATATTTATGTTAAACTTACTCTATGTCATCAGAAGAAATAAGATTGGCAAAGAAAAACGAGCTGTGTGTTGCCATGAAAGTTCAATCAAGAGCGATAAATACAAAATACATATAAATATGAGTTCAACACGATAATAAATTGATGAATTTATCACAAAAATCAATTAAACTCTGCGTACAGGTGTTACATGTTTTCTCTTTACGGAAAGAGCGCAGTAACACTTTTATTCACCTTCTATTACCGATCCTCCAGTTGCTTGTCGCGTGCGACAACGGCGTCGTCGAATTTAACCATGTACGTGGTCCCTTTGTGCCAGTGTGCCGTTACCTTAGCGGGCTGCAACGCATTTAAAATACTTTAATAAACTTGCTCTTGAGGCCAGTGTCCACGACGAACTAGAACTTGGTTCAAGTTTTAGCGTCGTCGACACAGGCCTTTACAAAAGGCTCGTTTTTTATCGCTGCACTGGTGAAATAGCGCAATAAATTGGAGCAAGGCAAGTATATATTTTTTTTATATTCTAGTTTACTCCACTGGTTTACCAGTGCAGCGACAGAAAACAAGCCTAAAAGTACGAGCTTAATAGTCGATCGACAGATTATCTTGAGGAACCGGCAATCAAAGCCGCTTACAAAGCCACAGTCGCAAAGGACCGCCTCGACGATGCCGGCGACGAAGGACGCGCAGTTGAGGCTCCCCTTGTCTTTGGGCACCGACACAAATTTGTTCACCAGGGACTCCTTCTCGATAATGTAATAAGTGCGCTCGTCGTCGTTGGCGTGCTCGAGCTTGTCGGCCTCTCGACCGAACAGGGACTTCCACACCGTGCTCTTGACGAACAGCAGCACGTTGAGCAGCTTTATCTCGCGCTTGCCGCCCTTCTCTCGCATGACCAGCAGATCTGTTATCCTGTGCCCGACTTCCGCTCCGATCTCTGCCAATCTAGCAAGCGGTAAAAATAAAGACGGATGATCTCCCGGTGAACGATCAAACGTAACTTGCGTCTCTTACTTGTTCTGCAGCTCCGGAACGGTGTAGACTCTGTTCTGACAATATTGCACCAGCTCGGAAAACAAGAGGGCAAAGCAGCTCAAGCTAACCTCGCCCTTACCCTTGCTCAGGGATTTGTCGAGGATACTGGTACGCGGTCTTATGGCTGATATCGTGATGCTCGACATGTTTGTACAATTAAATGTATCACGTAATTTTCAATTTCAGTATATTCGCCGATGAAATGTGTACACCATGCTGTCAAGGCGTTCTCGTGCGCACACCCATTGACGTATAATATTCTTATCTAGCATCATGGACACAGGCCTTTAGAAATGTCGTATCTAGATATTCATGTGCATGGAAGAAAGAATAACTGGTGGGAGCAATTTCCCCACGGCCTGTCTAAGCAGACGTAAGGGGGGGAACAGTAAGCGCCATATTGGTGCGGCCTACTGGATCGCGAAATTTGAAACAGTAATAAAGACAATGTCGAAAAAAATGATATACTTAATCTTTAGATAATTTTATTCCTTATAATGTACGCAGTTGTAAAAAATTGTAATATGTTAAACTTTTCAATTGAAACAAATGAATCGTAATTTATGAACTTAAAATGTTTTAATGGAACAAAAGTAATGATGTACTCTTTTTTTAACAGCGTATATGTCCTGGAATAATATTATCTCAAGTACAGCTTTGAAAATGTATATATTGCAAGATTGCCAAATAAAATTACTGTAATATCGAATATAGAATAAATGCTTATTTATTATTCTAAATAATAAAATATAGAATAATTGCACGGTATTGTGTACATTGAAAGTGCATTACAAAAATATGCCCTCCACCACCCCCGCCGATTTGGATCGGCGGTCCTCTTTTCTTCCCAATGTGAATTTTTACAATTTCATTATTTATTTTATTTTTCTTGCAATTTCCTTCACAATGTATACAATATTATAAAAGAAATAATTACAATATAAAATTAAAAATATAATATCTATACAATATTTCTCTCGACGATACAATATGAAATATTTGGTATGCATACAATAACATAAAATTCTTGCAATGTAAAATATCTACATATTGCATGTTTGGGATACAAAATATCCCGAATGTATTTATTAAGTCTCTTAAAAGTAAATCAATTCTACAAAAATTTTAAGTAAATTTAAAAACTGAACAAACGTACAACAACTTACATCTTATTATATGCATCCAATTACAAATACAATTATATTAAATAATAATACACTACAGTTATAATTTTATCTATCTTTTTAATTATGCAGTAATGTCCCCCTGTCCCTGCCTACCCGAATCCCTACCTATCCGTATTCGGCTGTATACCTAGTCTTATTCATTTTCCTACCTACCCGCGTTTTAACTTTTTGTTAATAAACCTGCAAGTCTTTCGTTAAAACCGCGACGCGATTTATAAGAGGTTTGGAGTTATACGCGCGCGATTTAATAGGAGTCTTTTTAATCTTGCACATATGCTAGAATAAGTAAAGAAGGAAAGAATATAACCCACCCGAATTTTTGCACATAAGAAGAAATCAAGATATATCGTACAACACCTTATTCACATAATACATCAAAGTGGCCAATATTGACCACTAACTCGGCGTATCCCTTCGTAGGGCCAGATTGGACATACCTTTCGTTGCTCCTGGCCGTACAGTCTGGTCATTTCGACCAGAGATCAGGAAGGAAGAAAACTCCTTCCATAGTCGGTTTATCACCGACAGATATTTCGTACGGTTCGAACTATATGCGAGCGTCGATCGTATCGAAATGCACGGCCACGAGAAGTTAATTAAAGAAGAAAATTAATTTAAAAAATCTGCTGCACAAAACTAATCAAATATATTTTTACTTCCGTTATTTAATCAAGAATCGATAATGACTGTCTCTTCGTGACTCAATCTCCAAATTTGAAATTCAAGTATATACGTATGTATATAGGAAAAAAATTTACTTCGCGTTATATTTATTTCTATTACATTTCGCGATAAATTAAAATTGTTAATATGAAATTAAACAATTAATAACTTGTTGAAAATTTGCTGAAAGACTGTTCGCGAAGACCGACCGCGAAAATACGAAGATGCGTGTAACTATGCATGTATTCATGCGAGACGCATCTTGAAAGTGTATCGCGAGAGACACATACAGAATAAATGACGCGAGACTCAGAAAAAAGAAACTTTCCGTACGATAGATAGACCGACAATTGAATATTCTAGTTAATCAATAATCTCATATAACGTGTAAATATAATTGTTATTGTTATTTGTATAATACAAAGTTTCAGCGTTCTCGATAAAATATTAGAGTCTCACGTCATGTTTTACTTTACACATAAATTTGTTAATGCAAAATGGATAGGCTACAAGTGAAAATATGTGATGCGCTGCAACACTTGACCCTCCACAGTAAAAATTACGATTACTCCCTCCCTGGTGAAAATAGAATTTGGAGCGTAAATCGAATGTAAGAGGTGAGAGACAGAAGCGTAAACGAAATGTGTAGGAAGCATAATTTGAAACAGCGAAGCGTAAAAGAAGCGTTCTCTCTAAAATTTGTGGAGTGAAAATGCTGCCATGGAGTGAAATGTTCACCCTATTGGCGTGAATATTTCCTCCAACAGAGTGAATTTTAACTCCAATGGAGTAAACATTTCACTCCATGGCAGTATTTTCACTCCACAAATTTTAGAGAGTTCGAAGTTTCTTTTATGCTTCGCTGTTCCAAATTACGCTTCCTACACATTTCGTTTACGCTTGTGTCACTCTCCCCTTACGTTCGATTTACGCTCCAATTTTTATTTTCACCAGGGCTTTCGACAGATAAAATATATAATAATAAATATGAAATGAAATTGTACTCTATCCATTTTGAGGCAACGTATTTACGAGATATACTAATCTACAAACTACGCTCTACAATCTACGATCTACGAGATGTATGATACGTTGCCTTAATAAAAAAGTTTTTGACTTACCACCCGACGCGCAGCAGCGGAGTCGGCTAAGTTGATTCTGTAACAGAAAAATATAGAATTTATTATAAAGTGTTCAAGGAATTTAATATTATAAAATATGAGCAAGACTTATGCTTATTAAATGCTTTATTCGATTGGATATTTTAATGATTAATCCGCAAAAGATGTTTACAAGAAGAAACTTTTATAAAACTTTAAATTATTTCGCGTTCACTAATTATTATTTCAAAATTATAGAATTAGGAAATAAAACGACTCGAAAGTGAGCTGGAAAAATAGTAATTTTACACTGAATAACAAAAACTTACCGTAAAGTTGCTCCGCTGGCGCCCGATGCCTCTCCTGGCCTCCTCCTCCTCTCAGATAGTCCTCTGGGCACACTCGCGAAAACACAAAGCTCGTTCGCGCGATTTTACACTCCCGTTTAAGCCCAGTTGAAGGTATTCTGTTCCGTCAATTTCGCCTCCACTTCGAGTCGACGAGTATTATACCCGATAAGCTGTCAAATCTCAGAAGTGTGGCCATCGACAGGAACGGACACTCGATGAATACTTGTTCCTCAAGTGGGCTTTGAAAAGTCTTTAATTCGATAATTCAAACGGCACTCCCGAACGCGACGAAACACTTTGTTATACGCGCACTTTTGTTCGTATATAATTGTTAGAGATGCTTTCTTGGCAAGCGAGCGACACATTCTAACGTTTCGTTATAATTTTACCCGACGATTCGCGTATTACACTGCACTTCCGATCGCATTGTCTCTTCAAACTTCAAACTACGCGCGATATTCGTCTCGACAAATCACCGTAGAAATTAATCAACGCTATATGACTGCGGATCGCGATGATTACTTAAACGCGATAGATAGATAAACGTTAATATCTCTCGTACGAGGCGATCGCGATTCTCGTAGGAAATAATCGCGTTACGAGCGACGCGAAGATACGCGGAGCACACGCCATGCTCGACCGACTCGCGCCGAAGAATTCGGCACACTAAACTGTCTTCGGCCGAGGTCAAGGTTTTTGCCGAGCTACGTCACTCTTTGGAATGAAGGTAAAAACACGAGCTCGGCGGCCGAGTTGTTTACGCCGCTCGAGCAATGCCGCTACGTCATTTCTTGGAATCGGGGCTCGGCGACCGAGTTGTTTACTCGAAACAAAGGCCACGCCCGTATACACGGGATCAGTTACGCGGCGACAATTGAACGAGTCGGTTATGCCCGCGCCGTTCCGCATATCGTATTAGGGTGGCGTCCCATGGAGCGGAATACGCGGAAGCGGAATCAGCGGGTCGCCAATCGCAAGATTATTCTGATAGAGCCCTTTCAAAAATTCCGTCGAAACGGTCTTGTGATTGGCGATCCGCTGATTCCGCTTCCGCGTATTTCGCTCCATGGGACGTCGCCCTTATTGTTTCGTGATACGCGTTCGCGACAAGTGCGGGAAGAAATCGCGATCGCTCTTTACGAATAATTGGTGATCGATATCATTGCGTGATCGCCGAATCCTCGCGATTTGCTATCTGTGCTCGTTAGCCAAGATATCTTGCGCGATTCATATGTGAGACGAGTGTTAAACCCGCTGCAGACGATGCTATTTTTCCCGCTTGATTGCTTGCAATCTAATAAATTACTATCATTCCCTGGTGAAAATAAAAATTGGAGCGTAAATCGAACGTAAGGGGAGAGTGACAGAAGCGTAAACGAGATGTGTAGGAAGCGTAATTTGGAACAGCGAAGCGTAAAAGAAACTTGGAACGCTTCTTTTACGCTTCGCTGTTCCAAATTACGCTTCCTACACATCTCGTTTACGCTTCTGTCACTCTCCCCTTACATTTGATTTACGCTCCAATTTTTATTTTCACCAGGGTTGCACCACTCAGCACTCAGGATTTCTAGTAATTTACTGAATACCAACCTGAAATCGTCTGCCGCGGGCTTTATACAAAGTGCCACGAAGTCTCGATCGTCCCACGAGGTTTCGTCAATCATGCCACGAAACGTAAGTACACATTTCATGTGAGATTTAATTACGAGAAATTAAATGTGAACGATTCCTTTTTACATTTGTGTCACGATTAACCGTTGGCTCAGTTGCATTTATTGTACGCGGTGTCGATGTTAAAGTGCATATAATTTTGAAAGAGTCTTGGAAATTTAGATAGTGCCGATCATGTTCTCCTGATACTTTTTGTAAATTGGCACTTTTGCATCGAGATATTTAAATTTGAAATTCTAAGGTCTGGTTTCACTGACGTCGTTTGACTTCGATCTTTTAATTTAATTCATGTTTATCTCGTTCTAAAGTAACAGTTGGAAATAGACACGGAACAAGTTAAACTGAGCTTGAAATTAAACAACGTTGGTGAAACCGGGTCTAAGAACGCGATACTTTAGAACTTTCGATAGTTTTGAAGAAACGTGAATGGTTATGAGAAAATAAGCGTGTTTTTGTATCACATTTAGAAAATTACAGAATATTATACATTGGTGACATGTATACACGCATGTCGTCGAAAAAAACATAGAAAATGTAAAACAAAAGATATTTGAAGTATTTTTGCGTTTATTTCAAGTGCAGAAAGGGTAACGTGGTGCAGCTGCAAAGAGTAGATTCGCGCTTGACGATCAGCCGAGCGTTGCGAGTGAGCGTCGTGGGACGATTTTCCGCGATTTTCTCTTAACTTGGCGGTGAGAGAGGCCGAACGACCCGCCGAGATCATGGATTTGTTAGGGTCCATCCTGAAATCCATGGACAAGCCGCCGTCAGTAAACGAGAAGCAGAAGGCCCTCATGAAAAGTTAGTTGAACCTCCCAACCTAAAAATGCTCGCTATAGAAAAGAAAGAAAAAGAAAAGACGACCGGACGCGGTTTGAGAAATCACGTTGGCTCATGCAAACTCATTTCGATTATGTAGAACAGCAGGAGGAACTTCAGAAGTGTCAGAGAGCCGAGGCGGAAAAGTTGAAGCTGTTCCGGCAGAAGGTGAAGCGGTTTACAAGTTGCACCTTTGTATCTTTCGTCCGATCAGATCGTCTAACGCGTTATTTACCTTCCGTACGCAGGTCGAAGAGAAGATCAACAAGTTTTTGCAGGATGACAACGCGAAGGAATACAAGTTTCTTCCCATGGACCAGATATACAGAAGCATCATGTAAGCATATTGCTTTTTGAAAACGTTATACTCGTGGAATATCCTTGTATAATACAACAATCCCCGTTCAGTCACGACGCGGCTGAAGTGGCGAATGTCCTGGCGTATTCCTTCGGCGAGGAAGGCGTCGATCGATACATCATGCTCTTCAAGAGGGAACACGCGCCTTCGGAGGATCAGTTGGCCACGCTGCGCAAGGGCGAAGAGTGGAACGAGGAAGTTGCCAGAAGAATGAAGGAGGAGAGAGAAAGGCAGGCCAAGGAGGAGACGGAGTATGCAAAGTCTAGGAAGCGAAAGGAGAATTTCGTGCCCAACAGCTACTACAAGGACAAGTATCAGCACTTGATCGGCAAGGAAGCTGCTTTGGAGGCAGCAAGGAAAACAGAAGCCAACAGCAGTTACGGATGTGGTGGGTATAAGCGTAGACTTTAATCTCGGTTTACCTCACTTTAGATCTTTTTACAGGTTTAAAAATTAGAAAAAGATACGAATTTATAAGTCGAGATTAAAGTTAATCCGCAGTGGTAGAAACAAGCATTACAAATCCAACGTTTACCACAAACACAAGTTATTCCTTGTATTAGATTCTAAAGTAGCACTAAAGTAATATTTACCAGAGGTATATTAAAATTATGAATTGTCCTAAATTAATTATAGTACGCACGTTATTTTTAAGTGCTTACAGTGCACGAGTAACAAAGAAGCAATACTCATGTTTGCAGCAAAGATTGTGAAACTTTTTGTTACACAATTGAGCGACTTATTCTATACATGTATAGTGGAATTGTCACTTAAAATTTTTGCAGTTCCTAGTGAAAACAAGAAGGATCAAAGGAGTATAGAACAGACTCTGGCCGATATACGCGCCAAGAAGAGGAAGCTGGAAATGAATAACGAAGCCAGTAATTGCAGCGACAACAGTACAAAATAGTGCTATTATATAAATAATCATAGGCATACATAAATTATATATATGTCCAATTAAACGTGTAAATAATTCAACATATTAGATATGTTACAACATTATTACAAATTACTGCATTATACGCACCATTAGAGAAACCGCGCGGTAGTCTGTGATTTGTCAAATTTCTCTTGTTTTGTTAAATAATCTACGAGATATTACAACGGTTCTACGATGGCATTACGATTAATATTTACCTGCATATAGAAGTGCAACGAATCACTTCTATATCGTCTCGCTATGATAACGTGTATTTATTACTCAAGAGAATCTTCTATATACAATATAATACATCGTCTCTCTCGCGTGTGCATATACCTATACATACACGTAAGCATTTGTTCCTGCGAATAATTTTCTCTGGCTATAAATTAAACGGTTCGGCATCTCTTTCCATCTAGAGATATTCCGTGGTGGAGTATTTAGGGACTGAAGTTCTCGGAGCCGGCCTCGGTTTCGTAGGCGATGGGGACTCGAATACGATCTGTTCTTTCAGAGCGAGCAGCTTCGTGAACTTCTGGTTCGTCGTGGATTTGTACAATTCCAGGCCTCGGGCAATAATAACGTCGCGCACGTAGGCTGCGTTACTTTGTACTAATTTTCGCTAAAGGAAAGAAATGAACTCGTGTAAAATTAGAATTTATTCCAATGTAATATACAGTAGTCTGATATAGCGGAGAGACACTCGTGCTTACCTCTTGCTTCAATTTCGGATCCGTAAGCGAGACGATGAAGTGTTGAACTTCGACCCGCATCACGGACACGAGCACGCCGTCTATCGTCGATATAAGCTCGGGTGTGGCTACGCTAAGGCAGTCTTCTAATAAACTGACGTATATCTTTGAGAAAGTTAGTGTATTGTACGTCAACGGTATCCAACAGTCGTTCGTCTGTAACGATGGTATACCGATACCGAGGTCGTCAAGCTCGGTTAACAACTTCTGGAGATTCTGACTAGTTTCCAGATTAGTTGGCCGCCAAGTATCCTCCGCTACGAAACGTTTCACCGTATCAAGACAGTTTTCTCCCGCGACCTGAATGGCTTTGGCTAACGGAGATCTAAGTTGTCCATCTAACTGGTAACGAAAGTCCATGCCAAGTTGGGTCAACTGAAAATCGAGTTACAAGCTTGTGTAGAAAAATTTGCATGTGCAGCGATGGACAGACTGGTTGCGATACTTTTAAACTAAACAAATCTACTTCTGTGAAGTTGTGCGACTATTGTTAAGATTATACGTGTACACACTTGATCGCAATGACTTCGAACAGCGACGATGCACTCCACCAGTGTGCTTAGCGTAACCTGCGGCACAAACAGTTGCTGAGAAAGGTGTGACGTCAAGTGCTTCACCTCCTGGCTGCACCATACAACCAAGCCTTAAACGACAACGAGCAAGTTAGATTAATTTCCACCATTCGTAGTACTCTTCTTGTCTGCGACTGCTAAATTACCGGAAGTGCAGTTTGTAGACTTAGGGAAGGTCTTGAGGAATTCTCTCGCTATCTCCACCATATTGCTGAAGGCGATCGCGCTGAGCTGCTTCACGTAAGCCACGGTCATGCCGTCCCGCTTAATTCTCTTCAGCCGCGCCTTCAATACTGCGCTGCACATTCGCAGATACAAGTGGCACGCTTGTGCGCTCCTATTCAGCTGTATCAGGAGCTTGACCGCGCGTCGCGCGCTCCTCAAACCGCCACCCTGCAGCGACTTTGCTTCCGCGCTCGACTCGAGCTCCTTGGTCAGCACGTTAACCAGCGAGCGGCCTCTCTCGTTCACCTTCGTCTGGATCTCCGTCAGTAGCGGCGTTGATTCGGCATCCTTCAAATAAATCTTCGCCTTCTCCAATAAACCGTAAGCTTCCTCGAAGTGACGTTGCGCTATGCAAGAGTCCAGATCCTCGGCTACTTCCAGCACCCACTCCGGCGGCGGTTCGTAGTACTCCGAGTCGTCGTCGTCGTCCATTCCTAGTGAGAATTTCAACGAGTTTAAAAAACGCTCGAAGAATAATGCGGGGTCTGCAATGCGAGTCTCAGAGTCATAGTCGTAAGGATAATCGACTGTAATTCTCAGCCGGACATAAAAATTGATCGATTACTTGAGTTTAGAAAGAAAAAAAAATGAAGATAGGATACGAATTGCGAAACGAAGAATCTTTCTACCTTACCCAAGGTATTCGATTCCAAAGACATCGAGCGAGACGGCGCTGCTTTGTCCTCCTTCGGATGCTTGTCGTTGTCCGGCGTGTCGACCGAATTCTCCTCCGCCAGCTTTGCCCGTTTCGCCTGCTCGTACTTGTCTAGCCACTCTTTCTGCAAGATAAGTAGATTGAAATGACACCCCCGCCGTGATTTACGGTAGTTGCTTTCGAGCGCACTAACTTTACTTGTCGCTGTGGCACACTGGAACACCCTCGTGTCGGAGAAGGCCAACAGCTTGAACGACAGCTTCACAGTGCCGTGATCCCTCACGTTGACGATCGCCAGGCTTTCTAAATTATAAACTGCCTGCATTTTGTATCGAGGCGGGCCGCGTCTGCCACCGTTCGCCAGCCAGGACGCGACCATCAGGACGTCGTTGAACAAGTACGCGTGGATTCTCTTTAACGGCGTACCCTCGAGCGGATCCAACTCGAGCAAGGAACCTTCGTGCAAGCACACGCGTCCCGGAGTCTCCGCTAAGCTCTGTGAAGGAAGAGGGTAAAGCATATGACAATCTTTTGTCGATATTCACTAGTAACAGATTCGGTTGCTTGCACTGAGTGCGCACCAAGACTAGTTCGCAGTCAATTCCGATATTCAAGGGTCCAAGTTCTAGTTTAGACTTGCGGTTATTACATAAAAGTAAGTTGATTGGCTATACATTTCTTGGAACTAAAACTTGGACCAAGTCCTAGCATCGTGGACACTGGCATTTAGTGTGCACTCGGCGCAGGGGACCAAGCTTGTTACAAGAATCTCGCTTGTCAAATACCAACCAGAGCGCCTTCCACATTTTCAATCAGCTGAATAAGCTTCTGCTTCTGCTCCTCTTCCTTGGACACAGAGTCAACCGGGTTCTCCTGCTGCGACTCGGACAGATCCTCGAAGACAACCCCCGTCGTTCTGGTGGAGCCTAGAGTGCTCAACAAGGCGCGCTGCTCGCTCAGCAGCTGGGACAGCTGGTACATCTCGCTCTCCAGGTGCGAGATCTCCTTGGCGGTCTCGATAAACTGCATGTAGTTCTGGTAGACGTTCCGCTTCAGCTGGGCGGACGTATTGTTCGCTAGCTCCTGAATCTTGGCACGCTGCTGCCTCAATTCGTCCGCGCCGACGCATTGTGCGCTCAGCTCCTTCACGACTGCATGAAGAATCGTTATAACGCATACAACACGTACAATTCATGTTCAGTGTTTCCCGCATGTCTCTATATCTGTCCTCGATTTCATAATCAATTGGTAAATGAGCCGTTTGTGCGATTGCGCCAGATTAGACAGTACAACTAGTAGACTCTCAACATTTCGTGACAAGTGTCACGCGATTGAAAACCGAGTACGATCGATCCCGCAACGATCCCTTGAACCGTACAATCGCGCAATCCCCAACGTAACACGCGTGCCCAGCGACTCACATTTCTCCGGGTTAAAGTCCTCGGCTGCGAAAACCTTGGCCAGGTTATTGTCCGCCATCGCGAGAGGCTCGCTGTCCGCGGGTGGAGCGTTTCCGGCTGTCGTCAACAGTTACGTGCCTCTGTCATTTTACGTTCCCGTCGAGTCCCTTCGCCGTCGCCTGTCACAAATAAATCAACATGATTTCGCGTCGGTTTACACCTCCGCCCCGATCTAACCTCGCTAGCTCGCGTATCCCAGTGCGCCGCCGAGAGCGGTTCGGGGGTGGTCGATAGTATCGGGCCCTTCGTTATCCCCATCGCGCTTATCGATCGCGCGGCTTTACCAGCGCGCGGCACGACGTTCGAAAGCGATTCGCGTCTTCGCTGAGATCCAATTGTTCTTCATATACTAATTCAGAGTTTTATATCTCTGAAAATGCTCTGCTGCGCGGTCCGCAATTTATCCTGGTATTATTTCGTGCAGAAAAGCCAATAAAAATGTGTCCATAAAAAGGACGGTGAACTTATCGAGTCGTCAAGCGATCGACTTGAGATGAGCTACGCTAGATGGTGCTGTCGCCATTTCCGCGCATGCAACTTTGTATATTCATCCATAAAATTCTACCCCGATTAATATCTTTTAATTAACTCGAGGGACCAATCTTGCATTTTTGTGGCCGCGAAGACGATGCTCGCGAAAGACGTTCTCAAGTCGAGCCGATCAATCTCCGGTAGCTTATAACGACGGGTCGCAACACATCCTTCAGCTGGGAGTGTGGCGGCTCCTGTAATCCGGCTACTCGGAGGCTGGTTGTGTTGGAGGATCTGAGGTCGGGAGCACCTGTTGGTGCGGGGCTCACGTTGACTGGGCGTCCGCACTAAGCTCGCCATCAATATGGGCACCCTGGAGGAGTCCGGGGTGACCAGGTTAGCTAAGGAGAGGCGAACCGGGCCAGAGGGGAAACCCAGCAGCCAAAAGTCTCCGTGGCGGGCAGTAGTGGGATCGCGCCCGGGAGTGGGACCGCATTGCCAGCCTGGTTGATATGATCCGACACATAACTTTTGCACTTTTTTTCGCAATTTTCCAACGATCCCCGAGGACCGTCCGCGCGCTCTCGCCAAGGATCCGATTTTTTCGAGGTACTTTTTGTTGCATTTTATTTTTATCACGTGGTCGGGCCATTCCGATGCCCGGCGAGAATTCCAAGACGAACGTCGAGCTTACGTTGCCTTTCTCCGGTCAAGCACGAATATCGTTCGCACTAGCGTTCGGTCGTTGTTACTGATACAGTTATTTCGGCGCATTCTGTTAGAAAAATTACAAATTGAAAAGAATATTAGAAAGGGTTAAAATTTAATACTTCAAGAGAGTAACGTTGGTTCTTATGTGCATTACACGTGGGCTAAAAAATTTAACGTAGATTAAAGCTACGCTTAGAATTGCTAAATTTAGGTTTCAAATACAAGTGAACTAAGTAAGTAAATGAAGCAATTAGAAATACTAGTCAGTACAGCGGTCAAGCGCTCACGCTATGTACATTAGTGGGAGGTCTTTAATTAACACCCTGTATATGCGTGCATACTGAATTTATACGTTTTATTAGAAATGAATTTGCTGCAGACATCTATTGCACCTGTATTTTAATACAGAAAATAGAACTGAAATAATGTTACAGTTATGTTACAGATGGGGAGAAAGTAACGAAGTTAAGTTAGAGTTACCAGAAAAAGTAACTGCAACTTCGTTAGAAGTAACGAGTTACTTCCCAACCCTGGTAATTTGTTAGTTGTCGTCTCGTTCGTGTCAACTTCGACAACTTTTAACCTTTACCTATTCACAGGACTTGTATCACAAGTCTACAATTAGTCAAGTTTCAATGTTAGTTTCAAAAAACCGCTCGGCTAGCGAATCAAAGAATTTTTTCTCCACTGTTCACAAGTCGCGTATAGCGTGGCATTAGCTTAACTCTGACATAAATCGTATAAAGAAGACAGAATTATAGAATTGTATGTAATTAATGTGCAAAACGCAGTAATTGAGCTTTAAATATAATCAAAAAATTAGTAAGGTGGATCGCCAGTGAATAAAAAACACCAAATATAAAAGTTCACGACAATTATTGGAGTGGAGTTATTGTCCACAGTTATTGTCGTGAACTTTTATATTTGGTGTTTTAAATATAATTATTCAAATTCACTTTAATCGCGCTGGCGGTGTCGAGGTGAGGCCAAGGGAAACTGCAAGGGCAAGAAGCACGACACGTAGCATCTATGAAAAAACTTTTAATCTTATTATAACCTTTGTCTTGCAATGAAGATGATAATGCTGTCGTTCACGTCACGATTCACTCCTGCGGCAAGGAAATAATTTTTAGTATATAATATAAACACTCGAATTGCGTGCAGACCAATTTCTGATGCAGTAAACTTTACCACCGCACAGTGGATTACTCTTCCTCTTATCTAATATAAAAATCTATGACTTCTGCTTCTCTTTCTTCGTCTGCTCCGCCAGCGCTTCTAGCCGGTCGTGTTCCGCGATTAAGGCGTTCACTTCGCTCCCCGGCAGTATCTTCGTTTTGGTTTTGCCATTTTCGCGCGTCAGTATCGCCATTTCCACTGCAAGCCAAGAACATGAAAGTTAATAACTTTGTTACGAGCTACGATATCGAAAACTAGGCGTGCAATTGTATTAGAATCGATAAAAGGAAGGCGAGGCGTGCGCGGAGATTGAAGCGCAATCTTACCAAAGACGTTTAATATTCCAAACCAATTTTCTTTCTCTATATTGTGGTTTCTTGTTTACGAAATATATACGAAACGTAAATTTAGAACATTAAACGTATTCGACACCGAATAAGGAAGTGCGCTTCAATCTCTCATTGGCCTTTTATTGTTCCTAAACTTTTTGACCCTCTACTTATTGGATTTGTTTGGAATCGATCGCACCGGTTCAGGGCGCGAGCGAAAGTTTACCCTTTTCAGCCGAGAGCTTGTTCATGTCTAACGTTTTGGTGAGCACTTTGATAGCGAGCGCCATTGCGTCTTTCAGGGTGGTCTCGCCCTCTTTATATTCCTGCTTGAGGGACGACACCGCCGCTGCCGAATTGTTCCCGATGCACGTCGCCTTCCAGCCGCCGTAGTTGCCGCTCGGGTCCGACTGATACAACTGATAGCCGTAGTATTTGTCCCAGCCCATGTACAAGATGGACACGCCGAAGGGTCTCTTCCCGCCGTACTGGGTGTACGCCTGCTTGACGTCGCACAGCCACGAGACGAGCTGCTCGCAGGGTATCGCCTCGCCGTACTGAAGAAGGTATCTCTGCGCGATGAGACGCAGCTCGTTCGTCAGGACATTCGCGTCCGACGTGATGCCGGCCACCGAGCAAACTATGTCGTTGTTCAGCTTGTAGATCTTCTCGGAGAAGAACACCTCGTCCAGCAGCTTGTTGGTGTTGCGCTTCTCAGCCGCCAGTAGAATGCCGTCGTTCGCTAGTATGCCCAGGCAGGTGCCGGCGTGGCTTATAGCCTCCATAGCGTACTCCACTTGGTAGAGTCTGCCCTCCGGCGAGAAGATTGTGGTACGTGTGTCGTATCTACGTGCCTGTAGAGCGTAACAGAACGCGGCTGAATTCTCGTTAGGAAGACATTGATCGGATCGTCAAAATTTCCATCTCTGCCCCGTCGCGGAGCGTGAACGAGCGAAAATAAAATAAAACCGGTATACAAGACTCGTCTAAATGACGAGGCATCTAATCGTAAGTACACATTCCCTTTACGTTTTGCCAAGAGTGTTGAAACTACAAATTAAATACGTTGACTTGATTTTTGTATCTTGTGTATTAAATACGCGTCGTAACGGAGATAATTGCAATTACGATCCGTTCATTTCTTTTAATTATGACAAATGGTCTTGATGACAGTGCACTTCCCCACATAACCTATGAGCAACGATGGTACCGAGGATGCTCCAAGGGGATGACATCAAAGCTGAATGAACGTAATTCTGAGCCGCAGCGGGACTCGTCGACTTACCATTTTGCAAGGAGTTTTACGTTAATATAAAGTTGTATCAAGAAAATGCCGCCGAGTGCGACAATCTGACACCTCCACTGGCTCCTACTCCGCTACTCGAGGAACGAATGATTGGCAGGTTGGTCGGGATACTCGAAAGAGTCGAGAGCCGTCGCGCACACTCGACCGAGATATCGATCAATATCGATGCTCGTGTCAAATCGACTTGGAAATACCGCGGGAATACGAAGCGACCAGGCGTGGGGTCACTTCTGTACTTGGCACTATAGTGAAAATACCGAAGGCGAATACCTTTCTTTTTCCAAGGGAACGGTTAGAAAGAAACAGCCGCTCACTTTTACAATTTTCACTATGTTGCAAGATACAGAATCGACCCCCAGTGGCTTATATTTCTCACGACATGCACTTCGTCTTTCTCACTCAGGTTTCAAACTAATTTATAAAAGTGGGCTATAATGATGCGAAAATGATTAAATATTTTGTACATACGGACATACAATATTTATTAATTTTTTGAGGCTTGTTAGTAAGGTTATCTAAACGAACGAATAGATGTTTACGCAGGCTAACAAGTATTCAGATCACTTATACAACATATATAAACGTATTTCTATGTTTGTGCAGATAAATCCTTGTAATATTACAGGTTAACGTATTGAAGGTTACAACTTCGCTTGGCATCGTAATCTTCTTACCCAATAATAAAATATAGAAGGAAGTAACGGCATTTTTTATCCTACGTAGATTTGAACATCTGTGTTAGGTACGTTTCTTTCTTATGTAAGTTTCATCTCTAGGACATGGAACAGATCTTTAATTGCTAAATTTGCTAGATATAATCAACATGTTTCGCGAAAGTAGACACACTTTTCATATTATCTTTTTTCCCATAGATTCTACTTATTCGTAAAAGAAAAGATATAATTTTCCGCTTCTTTTATATTTGTGATACTTTATGTAAAAGCAATCATACTTTTATATAAAAATAATCATACCGCAATTAGCTCATTAAAGGTGACCACTGAAATACGAATATATTGAACAAGAATATCAAACTCTTCTCGGGAGAAATTTGGTTTTCAGTACTTTTATTAACTCAATAATTTTTTTAAGAAATGAACAAATGAGAGAATATTTGCCAATAAACGTCGCTTAATGATTTAGAGTATCATGTTTTAATTGCATATTATATTGAAGCAGGGTTTTTAGTTTCCACCCTAATGAAAATTATACATACAGCATAATTGTCACATTCGTAAATGATTATTTGCTCGGGGCAACTCCGCACAATTTAAGCTCCTCCAGTTGTTTGAGTATTTGTGCGCTCTCCTCGGCGGCAGCATTTTGAACATCAGTTAGGTAAGTCAATCGGTCATTGACTTTACTCAAGACCTGCTCCCAAGCTGGTCCCTTCTCATCAGGATTTTTAATCATCTGGTCAATCTTTAGCGGCTCCTCCGTAGGCTTCTTAACACTTGGTTCCTCCTTCAACAAGGCCAGAAGTTTATCGGTTACTCGTTCACCAGACCCACTCGAAGTGCTCGCAACACAGCCTTCGTCCTTTCTATTATCAATGTTAAACGGTTTCGAAGTTGTATCTGGCTCAAGTTTCTCCATGTTTGTTTGTTGACTCAGATTAAACTTGGAAAAATTTTCATCTTTCTTATCAGCACACTGGAAATAATTTGTTAAGGGTAATTTCTGAAAATGCAATTTATCAATTAAAAAAGTTAGAAGAACAATACATTTTTATTACTCATTTACAGGCACGCTCAAGCGTTTATAAATGTTAGCGTATAAAAAACACAATATATTACCGCCCTACGTAGAGATTCTTCCAATTGTGTAATATCGTCATCTTCAGGAGCTAATTCATCGTATAACTTTCGATGGAATGAATCGGTAACTAACTTAGCATGTGAAATTGCATTAGGCCCCTCATATTCCACCTCCTCCTCATTATCATTATCATCATCGTCATCGTCATCGTTATCATCATCTTCAATATGCGCACACATCTTGAAATCTCCTTGTGAGATTTTCGTGGATAATACGGCAGTATTACGAGGAGGACGTAATGGCATTTCATCAGTCTAAAATTATAGAATATATCTCTACATATAGATGTACATACTAAAACAGAATGTCTGTATGTTCCCTATAAACTCCTAGACCCTTGATTAATGTGAACTAAATTATGCAGTAACTCTTTACTCTCTTCTCTGTGGAAAAAAGAAGCTATCATGAAACTAGCTATAGATACCCCACTCGTCTCTTCTCACTTTATAAGAAATAAATATAAATGTAACTGCATTAATTATGCTGTGTGTAACAAGGGCACTATTTATTTAAGTACACATTCAAAAGGTTTGAGTGAAATATATCTTACTGTGTCTTTAGGGTAAATTCGGGTGACGGTAGGAACTGTAAATCCTCTGAGAGCTGCCATACGAGCTCGTTCGCTCTCCTTGTACTTCCTTTTTTCTGACTTTGTCAATCCAGACACGCATCGGATCACCGGCTTCTTCGACGAGACCTCCATAGGATCGTAAGACGGGACTTTTGGTTCCTGTGAACAAAACGTACAAATTATGCAACGTAAAGTGTTGATGTAAACTAGTTAATCGTCACTATCTTCTATACCTCTTCCCAATTCTCCCTTGAGTTGTACAAGGTTATTTCAGGAAGCTGAACGTGGTCTATCCGTGGCCTAACACATCCAACAGTTGTATCTGCCAATTTTCCAATACTGCTACATGACGCAATGTGTTCCTGCAATAAGGAAAAA